TTCAAACATATCCAAAGACTATCTGTTTCAGTGACAACAACAGAGGAGTTCAAAACAGAATGCTATCGCTTTGAAACATCTGACTGAAACAGCTTGAGAAAAAATTAGAAACAATAAGAGACATTAAGAGTATCAATTCCTGCCTTGAGCATGGTAATACTTCATCAACACAAGATGCGAAAAAAAACCCAACTCACGACTAGAGAGACCTACAGCATGTGAGTTCACAACAACTGTGGGAATGGGAACAAACACAAAGCAGACATAGAATAAGAACAAACTGAACGCATCTTGAACAAAACGCACATAAGTGTCTTCTGACCGTAGAATATCAAGCTGCATCATTCACCAACAGGACTCCAGTGTGACCACAGAGAGCCAGCTATATACTTATTTACGCCATTTTATACCTTTGGTCATTATGAGCGTCACAGAAACGAAACTCGTTTCAGCCCTATACAAATCAAGTAACAGCACCCCAGTCTGACTCATTGTCAGCCCACACACCCTGACTAAATGATGACTAATTGTTATCAGCATAATACAATGTCAAGACTCATTACAAAAATACAAAACGTTGTCACCTTTGATTGTTTCCTCTTTAATTGCTACGGAAAGTCAGAACTCACCAATAACAAGAACAACGTTCTTATTTTGCTTTTTCATGGTTTAACATATGACAAAACCGTTTGAACCTCAATCAAATGCAACTTTATAATTATAGACCATCACAAATTTAACAAATAGAAGCAGAATTCTTTAAATGCAGGGAAACAGTGTGAGACTTCAAAACAAGTGGCCTGGACTCATGGTATACTAAATAAAGTGCATATACACTTACAGGAATATCATGAAACAAAAGAGATGTACAATCATAAAACTTTGTTCACCACTAGGGAATTTTGAAGAAGAGGGCCTCATCAGGTTCCTGAATTTCAAGTTTCTAATCAAGGTAAAAAATGAAGAATTCTCGCCAAATGCGACACACTGGATCAACCTGCACATTGACAATGAGTAATGCAGAACAGGTCCCATGGCAAAAAGGTATAATGTAATACTGATATAAAGAAAAAAAATTGTTTCACTTTGCATTGATTACTGGAATGACAGAGTCCTCACATTTCAAGACAAACCACCCACAGTATAATACTTTTGCCCCTTTTTCAAACCTTCCTGTCAATTTGGGGGTGTAAAAACACCAACGTATAACAAAAAATAATGAAACCTTCCTCTCAAACCCATCTCCCATTTTGCACTTCCAAATACTTCCTTACTTTTCTTTCCCAACCAAACAGTCATCAGAACTTGAGTTATGACCACCAAAAGAGACCAAACGCTTTACTTCCTATAACCAGATTTAAAGTTGTACTCGTGACCATCAAACACTTAACTCTCTAACATCACATGAACCTACAACGTTTTAAAATACTTAAGACATAAAAATAAAAACCACAAAACAAAAAGGAATCCAAACAAATAACAAAAAACTAGGTGGGTGGCTCCGTTTGAGCAACAGGGTAGCTGAATACCTCAAGACAGCAAAACAACCTATCCCACGAACAGGCTCATGCAGCATGTTTTACTCTTGTGGAAAAACATTATATTAATCTCATCACAGTGGAGGCTAACCCATATGCACAGAAATATCCCAGAGATCAGGACCATGTCACCTCCTTATCATTGCATGGCAAACAATTTACAGACCAGAGCAGCACCCTCAACTTTCAATCAAAATGGGGGGGGGGGGGGGGGGGGGGGGAGGACAAGACATGAAAAATTCTAGTAGAATATGTACCAATCTTTCAACTTCAACAATCCTTGCACGTGTTCAGAAAAGGAAAAGTAAAATAACGCAGCTCCAAATATGTCAGAGAAGTTGAACATACAAACATTAAGGTAAAAGCATTACTTTATCAATCTATAAAAACGCCATCCCCAGTAAAAATAATAAATAATGCATCTATTTATTCATTCCACTCTACAATAAGTTACCTATGTACACTATTTCACACATACTTCACAAATAAATAACAGTACTGAGACATTGTTCAACCACTTGAAACCATTCGTATAAACACACACTGCAATAGCTGAATGGCAGCTTCTTCACACATGAAGCAGTACCTTGTACAGGCAGGGCATTACTCATCTGTAAGATCATTCCTTCTTAAGGCTGAAGGGCAACAAATGCTCCATGTACAGAAAATAGCATGAGAGAATGAAGGGAACATAAAGAGTTGTATTGAAAAACCAGGTCCTTGGAATTGCAGTAGAATAACACGGTGTTCAATAGTCAGTCAATGTGCTTCTTTACTCAGGGCAGTTACCCATATATACAACATTTCACATGAAAAAAAAAAAATTGTTCAACAAGACATGTTGGCCAGAGAGCTGAACACACTCGTAGAAGTCCACTTAAAAATATTTCTGCTGCTTTAATCTAGTCACATGGCTGACCTGCACAACAGAGCTCCTGGAGAACCCACGCACAGATTACATATCACACAATGGAAGCGCTTTGAAGACGTGACCAAAAATATCTTTTGTGTAAAAGGAAGGATGGGACTAAGGGGGGCAAGAAAAGGGCCACATCTTACAAGTTTTGTCAGTGTCTCAGGACATGTTTCTTCAATTACGACACCTGTGACAAATTCAACAAGTGACCCAGCTGCTTCATCATAGTGAGACATAATTTGTGCTTTGTATTGTCATTTTGCTGGCTTCAATATATGTACAAAACATGGGACAAAATTGCTCAAAAGGGCCTCAGCCGGTACAAAAACAAAGATTAAAGCAACAGCATTCAAGTAGCCCTATTGAGGCAGAAAACAACATTCCTCCTTGTAGAATCTCATCAGTGAGCATCAGATACATCATGGCAGATAGGCAGTGGTGTTCAGGAATAACAGCTTCAACTCCTCTATGGCAACTGTAAACATCACGTGGAGTTCTCCCGCTCATTTGTAGACACTAGGGAGGCTGCAATAAAAGATGAGACACCTGAACATTGTGTGCACTGACAACATAACCAAAACTTCTTTCAAGTAAATTATACTATCAGGTATTCAAATAGAGCTGTATACCACGCACTCCCATTATTTTCACATATGCAAAAGCCTAATAATAATAATATCCACCACTTATTTTGTTTCCCTAAATTATAATCAAGCCATACACTATTTATGGCTATTCTAATTCTTGCTAAAAGCAAGAAATTCATCCCAGAGTTAAAGTAACATTTTCAAGCTCTAAAAATAATTTTCTGGGCTATCTGACAAAGAAAAGAGTTAGTAAGTGCATGGGTTTCATGCCTCTTGTAACACTGCTAGGTCATTCACTTGACAAAACATGCTACTTAATAGTTAACCATATTTTCAAAAGCTTCAGCTTAAGACATTCTAACCCCTAACCTTAGTCTAGCCCAATATCAAAACGGGCAACACAAAACACAGTTCTGTAATGCCCAACCCCACCTCATTCTCAATCTTTGAGTTCAACAAACACAAATTCGAGCCTTATGGAAAAGAAATCCTCAACTCACCCAGCCCTAATGCCAATAATATTGGTATGCGCGCACAATGCTCCAACCCCAACGCCTACAGTATCGGAACGGAAAATTTCACTCTCGTGACCGAAAACACTACTTTTGTGTGAGGCAGACTATAGCCTAATTGGAAGAGTAACCATTTTTCATTTGAAGCAAGACTATGACCTGAAATGCAAACCCAAATTTAGAACAAAGAAAGCTATATTAATGAACCATGTGAGGGGGGTGCGAAATTTGAATGCACTTTCTTTCTTCGCTTTCGGTATACTTTTTGACTCTGTATATAGACCCTTAACCATGGACTATTTCATAAAAATACAACATATTTTGCCTTCAAATTTTCAATACATACAAATAAAGGTTTGAATAAAATATTTACCAAATTTGAGAATGAAATGTTAAAATTTAGTACTTTTTAAATTTTTTTAAAAGAGGTAAAAATCTCTAGGGAGAGCTGACAAAATACTCACTTTCTCTCTCTTTCCTGCGAGCTCGTTTTCTCCTCCTGTCAATACTAGCCACCTCAGATTTCAAGTTCATGTATATCGTCTTTATCTCTTTCATCTTAGAAATGAGGAAATTACACCGGTCTTCACCTTCCAAGTACTCCCCAAGATCTGAGAGGAAGGGGAAAAAAATATATATAAATAAATACAATCAAAATTGAGGGTGAAAAATATGCACACACATGAAAAAATCAGCTTGAGGCAGAAATCTTTTACCTTTGTGCCTGGTTTTAATACAAAGTTTATATATCTGAAACAATATCAGCTTGACTCACTTGGCCAAAAAAGAAGAAGTGCAAAAATAAGACTCACTGTGCAAGCTTCTGAACTGTCTGTGCTATGCAAAACTGCACATATCAGGCTTGCCAACTTTTTATAACCAAATTGGCCATACCCAATGTTATAGCATCAGGTTTGTAACAACAAACAAAATTACATCCGAGCAAGGCTGGTTTTAATGTAGTGCCCAAGTGGGGGAGATTTTAAATAAGTCCTCTCAAAAATCTTAATTGCAGAAGTCCCAGGAAATTCAAAACAGTTGGCAAGTCTGCAGTACACATTGTGTGGGTCACACAGAGCAACTGGGTCCACTTTTCCAACAATGGATCAAAGACATTTTTAAGATCATCCGAGCAAAGGAATGAATGGAGAACTGTGATCGCCGATGTCTGTTGCAGATCTGGCACTGGATGATGATGATGATGTTGATGATCAAAGACAAAAAGAGTTCAGATTCAATGCATGTACACGGAGGGGAGGACGAGTAACTCACCAGCACTGAAGTTAAACTTGGACGGTCGGGGGGACTTGGACATGTCTGCAAACTTGGATGGAGGCGAATCTGGACAATGGTTCGGGGTGGTTGATGATGAGCCATGTGAGTCCGAGTTCTTGTATATAGAGCTGTCATTGCCAATGTCTGAAAAAAATATTTACAATCCTGACTTCTGCACGTTTTATACTTGTTACAGGCAAAATTTTTCTAAAAAGGCAGCTGACATGAGCCATTCATTTGTTCTAATTCTGGTAAGAAAATTTACCCAAAACGATCATTTCTTGCAGGCACTCGTTGAAAACTAAATAGCATCTTCAGGCAGTAATAATCTTGGGAACTATAATAATACACGAATACGGCCTGCTTTTAGTCATTTCCCATCGGGAAGGAAACAAAATTAAAAGAAAGATTCTAAATACTCAACAATACTTCTTCAGAAGGCCATTGTGCTCTCAGTGTTGTACAACATGGGACCACAAAACGTTTACCAATATTATGCCCACACAATAAAAGACAAGTCTAGTCAAGTTTGGCTCGTCTACACACATGGCACCACTGAACTGACACAACATACTTACAGACTTCGCTTGTAACATATTTTTTTAAATCCCACAAATCCAGAGCCATATGATATTTCAAGGGGGAGTAATTTTTTAAAGATGAATTGTTTTTTTCAAATGTAGGATTATTTACGTTCCCTTCAACACAATTTAGATATTTAGATATATGTATTTCAACCATGCCTTTCAGGGCTAACCATGGCTGAAAAGGATACGACATCCAGGCAGAAAGACAGAAACTTGAAAAAAAATTCTCCCCACTCAGGAATCAAACTCGAGTCTCCTGCATGCGACAGCAAAGTGACTAACAGCTACACCACAGAACCGGTCAATGGGGAGTGAATATTGTCATTCCCTCGGAAAAGCTGCCGTAGCAATGGACAGGAGAAGAGCACAGAAATGCTCAAGCTCCAAAAACAAAGAGGACAGCCTATCTCATTTAACAACCTCTGTTATTTGAGCTTAAAAGTTCAAGAGCACTGTAACAGCCAGTTAGAGTTGAAGACCAGACAGAAAAAAAAAGGCAACAGTGAAGAAAAGAGGATGACAAAAGAAGACATAAAGAGTATGTCTCTGGGAAGAAAAAAAAATCCCGTCCCCTCCCCACTACCATAAAAATAATGGTCCAGCAAAACAAACCACAAATCTGACAAACAAACAAAAAATCCCCCAAGACCACTTACATTTTGGTGATTTCCTAGCTGTTCTGCTTCTCGTGCCATGCACCCTTTTCTTCTTCTTTGGGGAGGGCAGACCATTGCTGAGTTCTTCTGGCTGCTTCCTTTTCTTGGAGGCAGGCGGCAGGTCCTGTTCTGTGCCACTGCTCTCAGAATGTTGAGCTGTCATGTTGGCGTCCAGATTGTCGGTCGAGGCAGTGCTGGTCACGTCATTGTCCGAGGGAGATTCACTGGCAGATTTTGATTGTGCAATATTCGAAGACGACGCGGGTAACGATAATGATGATGATGAGGATGAGGTGGCAGAAGGACACACCGGTCTAGAGCTTTCTGATTTAGGAGCAACATTGTTACTGGCACTGAAAGAAGGAGAGTCTTTCTCATGCATAGAAGCATTCCCATTGCCCTCGGCCTCGTCATGCTCCGGGGTGGTGGGTGGCGTGTTGTCGAAAGGAGCAGTGGTATCTGGTCTCTCCAACTCGGGCTCAAAACCTTGACTTTCTAGGAAGCCCCCCGATTCAGTTCTTTCTCTGAGACAAACAGATTGACTCGTCTCAGCACTAGAAGACGCTGATGGAACAACAGTGTCCACAGGTTGAGAGGATGGAGGAGGGGCAGCGACAACAGGAAGAGGGCAGTCAGGCACGGTCTGAGGCTCTTTCCCTGGTGATTTCTCATCTTTTATCTCCCTTACATTGTCCACAATATCTAAAGTGTCCTTACTGACTGACTTCTTACCGATTTTAGAAACACGAGACACATCCTTCTTATCACTCTCGGAGGCTCGCTTCGTTCTGCGCTTCTTTTGAGGTGGCTTCTTGTCTCCGTCTTCCTCCGCCTCCTGTAACGAATGCTTCACAGCTTCCACAACACTGTTCACCGTGTTCTCATACTGATCAATCACTTCTTTTTTGGCTTCCATCGCTAAATCTTTCTTCTTGCGGCCCTTCTTTTTCACAGGAACTTTCTCAACAGTTGCCGACACTGCATCAGCACTAGGCGGGGAAGCCAAGACCTCCTCTATGGTGCCAGAGACAGAGCCACTGGAGGCTGTAGTGTCTTGAACAGAAGCAGAACCCTCCTCCACCTTGGTTTCAACCACAAACTCTGGGCTTATTGGTTTTTTCTTCGCCTTTTTCTTAACTTTCTTTTTCTCTCTCTCCACTCCATCATCTGATGTAGACCCACCTTCTTTTGAAACTATAGGTGGCTTCTGGCTCGGCTCCCACTTTTTGGTAATTTCCGGTTGCCAAGGAGTGTCAACTTCAGCATCAAAGTCATACGGTGATGGGTCAACTTTACCTGTCAGAACACTCGATGCCGCCTCCAGGATTGGCTCCAATGTAGGAATGTCAGAGGCTCCGGCTCCAGATAATTCAGGAATCTTTCCAGACTTCTTTGCATCTTTTGTGAGGTCCTTCCTCCTTCCTTTACCTTGACGACTCCTTTCATTTTCCTTCTCTTTCTTTTCAGGTTCAAGATCAATTTTCTTCAGCTGAGGAATACCTTGATCAATGGAAGGAGGAAAGGATGGAGGCTCCTCATCTGTTGCCTTCTCAACAGGCTCTGGAACGAGAGACAGGCTTTCACTCACACTATCCTTCTGCACCTCCGCCTCTTCAATGATCTCCAGTTTAGGAGACTCATCATCAACAGGCACATTTGAAACACCATCATCAGTTACCTCCTCTTTGGCAGTCACCTTTTCCTCCTTCTCTTCAGACTCTCTAGCTTCCGTCTCTGGCATCTCATACACAACAGAACGGATCTCATCCACAGCATTTTTCACCTCCATCAAGGAAACGGTCACTTTTTCTGCTTTCACAACTTCTGGGCTTACCACTTTCGATTCCACGCACGATGTTGCTGGGGCTTCTGGTACCTTCTCAGAAAGGTCGGTGCCATCATCTGGAACGAGGGATTTGTCTTCAAGGCTAACAATTTTAGTTTCAGGAGGTACATCCAAAGAAATCACCTGAGGACTCTCCACAGACACAGAATTTTTAGGCTCCTTCTTTTTACTTAGGATTTCTGTTTCTTCTTTGGCATCTTCCTCAACAGTAACGGTGGCAGGTGCAGGTTCTTCCACAGGAATTTTTTCACTGTCACTGACAGGGACCTCAGTGTCCATTTCAGGCTTAGGAGCCTCCGACTCCTCTTCAACCTCAACTTCCAACATCTCCTCTGCTTCTTCTTCCTCTTCCTCCTCCTCCTCCTCTTCTTCTTCCTCCTTGGTGTTGGAATCGTCATCAGCCTGCTCAGAGCCAGTTGCATCTTCGAGATCGCTACCCATATGACTTTCTGCAAATAAAAGAAGAACCATGAATGATACTCGGAACCATGAAAACAATCCCAAAAACAATTAAGAGATTTTTTAAGCCAAATGCAATGAATACGAGCTTACTGGTCAAACAAAGATTGCAACTGTATGTTGTTCTTGAGTAAAATTTTGTTAAAGAATCATGAAAAACTAAACAAATTTGTCTGTTTGGGTATACAGAAGCACACTGACACAATAATGATCATTTACTACTGAAAACAGAAACTAGAGGAAAAGGAAATTAGTAGGACTTGTCTGTGGCATTTTTTTTAATGCAGTGGAAGAAAGCACCAAAAAGAAAGCACCCACAATCAGCCCAAACACAATGAAAAGGTCATATATATTAGACAGGAATATTAGACCATCAATTGACATAGAATCTCAAACTAAGACCTCATACAACAGCAATACAGACACCCACAAAACTGTAACAAAGTGTTCAATTAAAAAATACACAGGTTTGCAGCAGCTAAGATAAAGGAAACAAACATGAGGACTACAGCATGACTACAGTAAAAAAAAAAAATTTTAATCAATCAATCAATCCATCAAGCCTTGGACCTTCATTTCTCCTCGACAACAGTAGTCGTCTTGGACAGGTTTGACTGTAACTCCCTTTCTTTTTCTTTTAGCTCATCTCAACAAGTAAGATTCAACTGAATTGAAGTTCTGGTTACAAAACTGATGTAATTTAAAGCTTACCTGAAGATTTAGAGTCAGAGTCTGTGAGGGCTGACCTACGGCGCGTGATACGTTTGCCTGAAATACACATTTAAAAAAAGAAAAAGAAAAGTCAGACCCGACCTGCAAAAACATGCAGCTATTAAAACATCAACAAAATAAGCTGCCACTCATGACATCCCAAATACAAGTTAAGTTTTAATGAAGCAAAAGAACATCAAACCCTGCTTCAACCTTAGTTTCATGAGTTTGGAGCTAGAGAAAGACACTTCAACACAAAAGCAGTCACTCAGTGGCGGACACAAAGCAACACAGAGATACAAGGGACAGAAAAAAAATTCAGGCCCACTGTAGGCACCATCCAACCACCCACTAACTGTACAGAATTCCATTACCCCACTCAAATGTAAAAGGAACAACGAGTACAGGACACATTAAATAAGGGGAAATTTACTCAAATATAAAACCACAAGGGGGGAGGACAAAATGAAGTGGTACCTGGCTTTTTGATTAAGACAGAGATTTCTGAACTTGACGAGCGAGTTGCCCTAGTCTTTGCAGCAGACACCATTTTTGGGGTCCTGAAGATGGAGCCTGGCTTTTTAATCACAGCAGATGTTTTCGTCGGTTTGATCTTCTTCAGTACAGAAGAAAATGTTGACTGCAAAACAAAAATAAAAGAAATGCAAAAACATTGATTAAGAATATCAGCTAAGACAACCATATGTGGGTAATACAATACAAAACAAAAAATCCCCAAAACAAACAGGTAGTATTTAAAAAGAAAAAAGAAAACAATTAACAATTATGAACTTTGCACAATCAAAAGAATGTAACTGAATAAAAACTAGAAAGCAAAATTCGAACTCCATCCAAATTAAACAAAGGCTACCCAGAATGTTTTATGTTGAGGATTGGACCTAAACGGTCACTCAGTTTACTGTAACATGGATAGTGGGCTGAAAAACAGAGTTAAACGAAAACAAACCTTACAGTGTCCTGCTACATTTAACTTTTCTATGCACTAGTTTTAACCATGACAAGATTTTCTCAAACAATAAAGACAGTTTGTGTGTAGAGTATCAAATGAGCAACTCTTACCACCATTGGCTTGGGAGATGACTGTTTAGCTTTCTCAGCATCAGGCTTGTCGAGCACAGACACAACTCGGTCAGCCCGAATCCACTCATCATATCTGAAAACAAGAGGCCAACAAGCATGTTACCTACAGAGAATCAGCAAAAGAAGTATTGTTTCTTAGAGCTCTCAAAGCTGAAATGACAATAACTTGATTGCAGAGGGATCTCAAAAGGGATCAAAATGCAATCTCTATTTATCACTCCATTCAGAGAACTATGTGCAACTATAATGTTATACATCACTTGTATCAGCCTGTATGATGCACCTTTATATTATCACACCCAAAAAGACCTTAAAGATGAAGATTTTAAAGCATTTTAAGGGTCTCCCAGAGAGAAACATGCTTTTTTAGAGAGGTGATTATAAAACCAAATGCTTTGATTTCTAACAAAACTTGAAGGAAAAATGAACCCCTTTCAAACATTATGGGGGGATTCACTATTGACAAAGTATGCTGCTGAAACAATGATGCTAAAAAAACAATGCTAGATGAAATGAGACCATTGCAAAGCTAATGGCAAAGCAAACAAAGGAACAAATACCTGAATCAACTGCCCGTTATCTGTACATATATCTTCTTACTCTACATTATACTTCTTTAACATTACTATTCCAAAAGACCAAAAAACAAAACCCAATATTCCATGAATTATTATCAAACAATACGATGCATCAACACAAAAATATATTTAGACAATCAGCTGAAGAACAATTCAAAGACTTTTGTTTTGGTCTTCAAAGTGCAACCACCCCCACTTTCAACGATTAGATTACATTTCACAGGGGGGGAAAAAAAGAAAAGAAAAAACAAGCTTGACAAGATGCAAAATACACACACATACCTATTATTCCATCCAGTATAGTGAACTAAGTATGTTTTGTGTGTACCATCTTTGCCAGAGTCAACAACCTGTTGAAAGAAAAGAAAAAGCTCCATAAACATCTGTAGGTCTTAAATGAATGACAAGAATATGACAGCAACACTGAGACTGGGGGAGGTGAAATTCAAGTTAGTTAAGATTTTTTTTTTAAACCCTAATTATATATGTATAAAAACAAACACATAAATATTGTATTCAAAATCCTGATTATTTCAATATAAAATTTATGAGGAAAATGAAAACTCTCCCTTTGTCAAGATATTTGTCTCTCTTCTCCAAAGACACATTCACAAACAATTCCTGTAAACAAACAAGCACTCTGAACTTATATGACATATACAATTTAGACAGACATTCGTTTTATTTTATAACAAACACATTTTGAGGCATATACTCTCAGGGTGACTGCCAAACCGGCTTCTCAATTTTCCAGGGGCATGTTACATAACAATAACAGCATATGTGCTCCATTTAAATATATATATTTGAGCGCTCATATATGACTTATGCAGTTGTGAGCGGCATAAAACTCTTACTGAACTATCTCTCTCTCTCTATATACATGTATATGTATAAAATATACACAAGAACAATCTTGATACTCCTGATCGACCTCGGTGTTACATACACTTCAGCCTGCTGTCATAGCCGCCTGTTCGCGGGAAATGAATATCACAATTGCGAGCGGCCAAAATGAACTTACTGACCTCACTGGAATTTGTTTTCAAATATTCAAGAATTTCATGTATTTTCCCGTGTCTGCCCGGCTTTTTCCCAGGGCAATTTACAGATTCCCTCAAATTCCTGGCGCAATCCCAGGTCTCTGCGATTTTTTTCAAATTCCCGGATAATTCCCAGGACCCGACAGTCACCCTGTACTATAAACCTGGGAGCAAAAAACTGCTGGCACTACCAGTATCTTACCTTTGCATTGTAAATTTTCTGGTTCTTGCCCCTCCCATACTTGACTTTGAGCTTGGATCCAACAGGGAAGTCTTTCTTTGCCACAGTGTCCTGCTTTGGGGGTTCAGACTCTTCTTCTTCCTCACTGGGGATCACAAATGTCATTGGTTTTTTGCTTATGCTGAGCCAACAGTTGAACATGACGGAAGAGCCACAGTTTACCATAAATACTAAGACTACGATTATACATTAGGATTAATAAAAACGCACTGGAACATGATTTACAAAAAATACTTGGAGAGAGAGGTAATTGGGATGACTGCTAAATACTTCAGGTGAAAGGATTCATGTCGGAAATTGCTTCTTTTTTTTTTTTTAAGTGAAGACTACTGGGCAAACCAAATCCCTTTTGAACAATAAATTAAAAATTTATATGAGAAGCCAAAGACAGGAATCGTGGTGAAATCAGGCTCTCGTCAAAATAATGAAATCAAAGAAATTTGCATTTTTATGGCCGTTCGCCAATTTATTTCGAATTTTCTTTTTTGGCTCAACACCTTATACATTCATTTAAAAACAAAATTTAGTATGGGTTTTACTAAAAAAAAAAAAAAAAAAACATTGATTAAAGGCACCAAAAAAATGTAAATTTGCACTTTCCAAAACTCTGAGGCTTTGAACATCATCAAAGTTTGGCCGCCGTTTTCACGTTAATTTTACCTCTAAAACCAGGCGACACCCACCTCCATATTCAAATATCTCGATTTTTATTTAAGATAGATGGGTATTTTTTTCAAGGAAAGCAAAACAAATGTACAGGCTTTAAGATGGTACCAATAACTCCACATGCCCCAAAATTGATGAGCACCTGATTCCACCTCGCCGCGACACATATATTTTATGAAAGGAACAAAAGACCATTTTCACTTCCATCGACATACGCAGATTCCACGCCAGTGGCAGACTCAATGTCCAGAAAATAATGTAGTTAGAAATTAGTATACTATATAATTTACCTTTTCTCCGATTCTTGTTCTTCCTCCTCCTCCTCCTCATTCTCTGCATCTTTTCCTTTCTTTTCCTTCTTCAGCGGTTTCTTCTCCTCCACCTTCCCCTTCTTTTCGGCACTTTTCACTTCTTTCTTTTCAGCTGCCTTGACAAGCAATTCCTTCTTCTCAGAGCTTCTGCTGTCTCTCCTCTCTAGAGTACGCGGAATGTCTTTCTCCTTTTTGTCCCCGACTTTGAGGTCCCTGGTTGCAATCTTTTTGGCAGGAGGTTCTTTCTTCTCTGGTAGCTCTTTCTTCTCAGCTACTTCCTTTTTCTCTTCAACTTCTTCCTTTGGCTCCGCTTCTTTGCGTATATCAAGCTGGATCAGCTTCCGCCGAGTTACCTAAAATGACAACATATTTTAAAAATTTAAAGATTTGTCAAAGCAAGGCAATCAAAACCTTTTTGTTTAAGACATTTACAAAGCAGATAGACTATCATAAAAACTGCAAGATTTTTACTTTCTATTTGAGACCACGTTCTGGTAAACAAAACAAAAAAGAACATTCAGCCACCCTCCACCGACATTATACAAGAAGTGCAAAGATGTGAACTCTTTGTAAAATATATAATTTGTTGTTTTTTAAAAATTTTTAATAATTTAAAAAACCATGACAAACAAAAAACCCAACATTCAAATAGTAAAACATAATTTGATTATTCCAAATCAGCAGAGGCAAAAACCCACAAAGTGTTTTCTACTTACCCTCTTCTTTGGAGACTCTTTCACCTCTGCTGGAGGCTCCAACACAGGTTCTTCCTTCTTTTCCTCTTCCTTTTCCTTGCGAGCTGACCGCACTAGTTTCTTCTCTTCCTTCTCTTTTTCAGGCTCTTTCTCCTCTTCCTTCTGCAGTTTTCTTGTTGATTTACGCTCCTCTTTCTTTGCCACTTCTTCTTCCCTTTTGGCCTTTGCAGCTTCCTCCTTTCTCGACTTTGGAGTCGGGGACAAATCCTTTTTCACCCTCGAACCACTCACTTCATCCTTTCTGGTAGATTTGATCAGCTCATCTTTCTTGTCCTCTTTCTTTCCTTTTGGCGTTTCATCTTTCTTGTCATCTTTCTTTGATTTGGGTGTCTCATCTTTCTTTTCTTCCTTCTTTAATTTAGGAGTCTCATTCTTTTCTTCCTTCTTAGCTTTAGGGGTCTCCTCTTTCTTTTCTTCTTTCTTCGCCTTTGTCAGCTCTTCTTTCTTCTTTGGAGAATCCTCCTTCTTTTCCTCTTTCTTATTTTTAGCACCTCCCGCTTCATCTTTTTTCTCCTTCTCCTTCTGCTCCTCTTTAGCAGCCTGACCTCTGACATCCCTTCTGGGGGTCATTCTTCTTCCAACAGGATCATTCTCTTCTGTGGAAGCCACACTGGCAGTGTCCTGGTTGTCTTCTGGCTTCTCCGCTACGGGAGTCTCAACAACTTTCGGTTTTGGACTACTAGTGTCCTCCTTGGCCTGAAAATTGAACAGCACAAGAGAAGTAAAGCAATGAGCAATAACAAACTGGAAACATGACTCCCACAGACAGCACGAAACCATCCAGAAAACAAAAACAGGCTAACATTCTCAAATCCTGAAGTCTCATTATCAAAAACTTACATCTTTCACTATTCCAAGGTCTCCACATTCAGTCAAATGAGGTAGATAAAAAGAATCAAAATACTTTCATGTCTTCTGAGATTCTTTGACACAGAGAGCAGACAACCGAGATAGCAGCGGCAGTCCTTTACAGCAGCCATCTATCAATATCTAATGAAATGAGAATTTAAGCCAAGAAAATAATCATGTCAGAACAATTTAGCACTGGGAAAACATATTTTTTGAACCATCTGAGCCGATAAACACTCTGTGAAAAATAAGCTTAAAAGACTGACTCCAGGCTTACCTTTTCCGGAGGTTTTGGCGACCGCGGACTTTTCTCTCTACCTCTGAAGTTGAGGATGCTCCGACTTGAGTTCTGTCTCGCTCTGCCTGGGCGGCTTAATGTACCCATTGTACTCCCAAGCTTTCGATAAAATGTTTCATAGGCATCTAGATACCTGCAGAAAACGTCAAGAGATATTTTTTAGCAGATAGTCTTAAAATCTCTACTAGTTCACACAGAATAAACACTGAAATATATCATCCAAGACTGGGCAGGGCGGTAAAAATTGATAACTATAAAACATAACCGTTTACAACAATCAATTGATGCCAGTAGATATCGAGATAAAAAAAACTACTCTAAGACCCTAGCAAATCAAATTAACATGAAGTAATAAAAAGTAATACAATGAGAAGGTAAAAAATGCTTTCCAATAAACACACGATGAGACCTTCATTACTTTATTTTGTAAGATTTCATCAAATAAACATTGTTTAACCATTATCATTTTGATGCACAGTGATAGGCACAACATGCCATTCTATCAGACAACTTACTTTTTGTAGGCTGTTTTGATTTGGTGAGCAGGATTCAGGTGCAACGAAGGTAGACCCATCTTGCTGTAAACAACAGGCCATTTCATTTCTTTGGTGACCTGAAAGATAAACGCATCATATTTTTTACAAAACAAGTGACGGAAAACATTTCCAGAAGGAAGCCTGTTGACAGAAGCATCTCATTTCATAAAAAAACTCCCCACAACATTCATCACAAAAAGCATTTCACACATCAGGAAAGAAAGCTGAAAAAATCAACAACTTGCTCAAAAAACACCTACGAGAACTCATATCAAAGCAGTCAGCCACAGAATAATCTCCGCTAAATTACTTAAGCCTAGGCATGCTTCACAAAAAGCAAGACTTTCTTGGGAGGAAAAGGGATGAATCAAAATATTTCATGCCCTCCACTTGTATTTTTTTTCATGGTTAACTTGACTATAGCGCTATAGCATTAATATTTTAGAACATTCACATTATAATAAAATTGAGTTATTCACAATGAAAAAAGATAAAAGTAAACTTTTTAAAAAAGCAGCATTTTAATCATTCTGAATTCTGAAACGCATATAAATACTGGACAATCCCATTCGAATAAAGAAAAGAATGAAAAAATTAAAAACCCAAAACAAGCATTTCCATGAAAAATTTAACACAATAAAACTCACCTTATTATACCCTCCCAAGTTTTGAACAATCTTGAACAATTTGTACAGGTTCAGGTCTTTGTTCCCAATGGATGGTCCTTTGTTGATGGGTGTGCCTCTGTCATCCATGAACTTATAAAGTTGGGCGACAAACCTGTCTTTCTCTTCAAAAGGTTCATCCTCTGATGCCTGCAGAAAACAAAGAAGGGTAACAGTTTGCTTAGTCTAATCTATTGAATAGTATTTACCAAAAAGGAAAGCATTTAAAGGTGGTTAAAGATCTGAAATTGTCTATACACATAATGAAACATCATAAGCATGCACATATTTATTTCAAACAAACATTCAAACTATCTGTGATGTAACAGGTTAATGTCACATTACCACATCCTAAAAACATTAAATTATGTCAATTCATGGTTTTGTTTTACATATAAAATCCTCAAAAGAGTAGCAAAAGCAGGTCAAACAAAATATTATGAGACAATAATTTGAACGTAAAAACAACAGCGGTACTTTTGCCAAATTGGTTTGATATATATCTCTAGTACAAAAGACAATATAAAAAGCAACAAACTTACATATTCATCCTCCTCGCCTTCATCTTCCTCATCTTCAACATCAGATCCAAGCATTTCTTCTTTATTCCAGCCAACAGGCAGCTCTTTTGTGTCGTGATAAAGTAGAGCTTTCTCATAGGCTGAAACAACATAACAATTTTACTATATGACAGATGTGAAGAAATGTTATACCCACAACATACATATATAAGGATTTAACCCATCTTTACACTGATTTGTTTCCTTTTACACGATAAAAGGGGAAATACTTTGAATATTCAATATAATTTTTATCCGTGCTCCTCCATTCAAACATCAAGAACGCAATTAATTTGCAAGAACAATGTATTTATTTCTCATTGACGGGAACAAAATTTTATTTTCGATCAACTCTTTTAACAAATTAAAAATATAACCCAGGCTTTAAATACACTTTATCATTCAGTATCATTTAAATTCAGAGAAGGACAATAAAATTGCAAACATTTTACTCACCTGTTCGCATTGTCTTGTCATCATTTTTTATGGCGATGCTTCTAAGGAATTCTTTTAAGTCCTTTCGAGTGACAACCAAACTGAAACACAAATATCAAATTGTCCATCAACAAATATATCATTATAATACAATACAAAGAACTAGGGCATAGAAGCTAAGTATATATGCAATCAAATTTCTCCACATATATATTTTTTAAAGAAGTAATTGTACTTACACATACTTCTCAATGAGATCCCTTTTGTCTCAAAATCTACAACAGAGTTTCTATGCAATGAATGAAAATCTACCCACATACTGCACTGTTGAAATGGAACACATCAATTTGTAAACAGAGGACATGGATGATATGACGAAATTCAAAAATTTCTGAACAACTTTGAAGCTGTGCTGACCAGGGCTATACAATGTTAAGAACACAGAGAGAAAATGTAAGCACAAATTTGTAGGAGAGAGAGATATGGTAGTAAGAGAAAAAGTAGAGAGGGTGAAAGCAAACGGTGGTGGAGGGAGCATAATTCTTAGTACACATTTAGCTCTTAAGAGACCTTGTACAGCCATAGCTTGTCACGACTTTCCATATACGGCGAGAAAATCAGTCAGTTTCAAACTTTACTCCCTGAAGCAACTTACTAAAAAAGCTTTCCTCATGAACAAATCAGACCCAAAGAAGCAACAAATTGAGCCAAAAATTTCAGACAAGTCCCAAAGTCTCATCGCCCATTCACTAAAAAAGAAGAGAGATCTCTGAAATTAAAGATGAAATTAGAACAGAACAGAGACAATAAATACTCACAACTTCGAGTCTTTGAAAGAGCGAACCAAAATTTGGTCTCTGTTCTTGACCTCACTGATGCTGTTGGCATCTGGTAAAACAACCAGTGCTGGAATAACTGAACCCTTGCGATGGGGCAAGTCCACCAACATGAGTTTCCCCACTAGCTCCTGGTGACGACCCCGGTACATGGCTCTCCGTGGAGATTCCTCCTCTGATGCATCGTCTCCATCATCACTGTCATCACTGTTAGAATAAATGAAAGTTTTATTTCAACTCCACAAAGGCTTTCTTAGCAACCTTCATATCTTACTTAACGCCAGCACCTCACTCTGACAGTAGGGTCAAATAAATTCCCCCTTGATTATTTAACAACTCAAACAAAACAATGGCATGAATAACATGCAGTTCAAAAGAGGCAAACAACATAATCAACAGGACCATTTAAGACCTTTCCTAAGTACAAGCACCTGTATTCAAATGCATCAATATTCTTTAGGTTCTAAAAAGAAGATAAACAAAGGCCAAATACAACAATAATTGTACACTAATTTATAGAACGTATATAAAGAACTTACTCTGCTTTTTTCTTTGTTTTCTTGTTCTGCAGAACTGGAGTGCCAAAGTGCTCAGGGTGAGACAAAGGCAAATTATCCAAGGTCTAAAAAAAAAATGGAGAAAAAAAAAGTTACATATACAACATTTGCTCACTGCTTCAAAAAAGTTTTAAGGACCATTCAAGACAAACCAACAATGGCAAATAAACAGTAACTTTTAAGGAAAATAACCACTCTACAGTGTGAAATCAAAACTTTTTTAAAAGACACATAAAATTTTCACCAAAAAAACGTATGTATTCAGTTAAATGAAGAGCAAATTGTATGCAACATTCTCAACATTACCTCTTTACAATCAATGAGCCGAAAGTGTTGGCAAGTTGTTGATTAGAAATGTGATGGGCCGGCCAAGACATTTAGCAGGCTATATATCCCTACTACTTTATTCAGGTATTTATACATTTAGCAATTCTGATTCTATTTAAAGCATCTAATGCAGTAAATAGGGTTACTTTATCTAAAGCATGTTTCCTTCCAGTTTGGCGTCACTTTGAGGTCAATTTTTTTTTCATTTTTCTCCCTTGATATCAGATTTTCAAAGCATAATAAATTGACGAATATCAGGTTTGCAGCATAACATCCCATATAACATTTAGACCAATGTTCATTTTGACAGTCTAGCACACACATAGAGAAATCAGCAAAGCGCATAAATCTTTTTGTGATGTACAAATTCCAGTATATCAAGGGCGATAATAAAGTTGGACAAATGATTTTTAAAATGTACATAAATTATGCCCCCTCTGCCACATCAGTATGCATGTGGGTTCATAGAGATGTATGTTTTGCAGATACAAGTTTTTGTTACTAATTTTTCATCTATCACCTCTGCTAGGGTCTGCCTTATTTCCTCAACCAAGATGCTTTTCCACTTGGTCTTCTTTTTCTTCTCTGCCATGCCCCACTCTCTATTACAACTTCATCTCGACCTAAATTTACAGAACACCAGCAAGCTGTTGTTGTGTACTATGTAATCTCGGTTGAAGTGGAAACTGAAACGCGCTGAATAACATGACAAAATACTAGATACATGCCTCCACACAACTGTGACTCTCCACACACTACTGAGGTGTACAGGCCAGATCTACCACTGAACACATATGCAATTATAAACATGTCCTTCACATACACTCTTGCTCTCTGCTTATTGAGAGGTCTTTGGCCTTCATTCAACCCTCCCCCCCTCCCCACATCCCAGAGCAGAGACAAAAAAACTAGCTTTTGCATTGTTTGTATCAGGAATCATGAAAAGCAAGAAAATTGTAAGCTTTGACCATAGAATTAAACAGCATTTTGGTGATGTTGAATGATGCATCTTTGATAAGGCTTTGGAGGGTGTAAAAATAAAAAATTCTCAAAATTTAGACTTAAGTGGATTGCTTGTGACAGCGGTGATTGGCAATATTCATTTCTGAACAAATAATAACCCCAAACTTCATTCTAGCATTTCAAACAAACAATATTTCTAAGCTACTCAACAGATATATTCAAGGACTAAAAAAAAATCAAAAACCCCACCTTGTTGTCACATAGAAAAACTTTCTTAATTCTAAACAGATGTATAAACAGGTAATTCATAAGTCATTAGCAATTTTTTTTTAAGGGGGCTCAATATTTACAGGACAACAATTTTAACAAAAGACAAATTGAAACAATTTTTGTCACAGGCAGTCAGTATTTGACAAAAGATTCATGTCCTACTGTTGACACACTCGATTACGTAAGCCGTTGCAATGGAAATGGCAGCATTCTTGAAAATTGGATACACAATTTTTTTTTCCTCCACCATTTCTACAATTTTTAAAACTATTTTGCAACTTGCAAAATGTCACAAATAAATAGGTGCTTGCAGCTGGCTATTTTTATTTCTGATTCTATACTTAGAAAGTATCCAAAATTGTTCTAAAAGTTTGGGATATTGAATTTGATCTATAAAATAAAATATTTTTGGCATGAAAAAAAAAATTGTGTAGAAAATTCTAAAGAAAAACATAAAAAAGTAACCCGCCCACAACAAGTACGAACTATTTTTCTAACCACATGCCAAATTTCAAGTCTCTGTGTAGGAATATAAAAAAAAAGGTGGAGAAAAAATATGTGTTTTGAGGAAAACAAGGTTAAACATAAAAAATGTTAGTACACAATGTAGAACCCAGTGAAATTGAATTCTGTTAATTAATGTTACTCACTCAGTGACTAGTGTAAATAAAAATCTAGATTGAAAGAGGGATCGGAAAATACCAAAAGTATGAAGTGCTTACAGTGAGTGAAAATCAGTCCCCGAGGCCCTAGACCCGACCGGCGAGCCCCCTTAAAGACAACAAAAACCTATGACCTACTCAGACTTACCTCACTTTCAATAAAATGTTTATCTCCTTTAAGACACAGTTGACTTCTTCGTAAGGTTCTTTCATCTCCATCATCAAATACTGTTCAAAAGAAATTTTTCAAAAATGAACAAAAATTGAAACAATTTTAATACAAATAGTTCTTTCTAGGGAAAAAAAATCTTGAAATGCATAAAGTTATATCATTACCAGTAAAATTTCAGTTTTCAGGAAATATCTTGATTCACAATGCAATAACATATCTCTTCTTATAAATGAGAAATCACAGTAAAAGAATTAAGCAAAACATAAAAATGACAGTCTTGCTTCCAAACCAATTTAATTTCTTTGCCTCTTATTTCATTTTTACCAAAAGTTTGTGCCAAGCCTTTCATTTCTTGATTACACTTTGGAAGAAGATGTTCAGAAGCTATAACAGCACAAGAAAAGTTGTTTAAAATAACAACAAATACTTGAAAAGCTCAACCTCTTTGAGCGGCTCACAAAATCGTGCGTCTGATGTACTTTTTCAGCATAACCATAACTAGATCTGAAAGATAATAAATAACACATAAATCCACTTACCAACAGTGTAAGTACTCTGATCAATGAGTTTATTGATAGTGGCCTCTACTGGCTGACCTGTGTCAGGATGTTTTACTTCTACAATAGCACCAAGCTGTTAAAAGAAATAAAAATACAGGAATTAGAAATCTAGTTCATACTGAACACTCAGTCACAAACTTTGAAACATTAAGATATTCTCTTTACATGCTCAGATCAATTATTTTTTCTTTAAAAGCATGAAAATCCTATAAACCCATAAAGCTGCCTTCCAGAGTTAGTAAAAAATTGCTCATTTACGGCCACATGCAATCACAAAGTTTCTCTAGCACAGCACCTGGTGAGAATTGGAAACTTCAAGCATACACTATGCTAGTTCCATTGAAGAGATCACCTTTGCTCATATCATCCATATCAGACGACTTTATTCTTCACACCATGTCTTAAAAGAACCTCTTGCCAGTAGGCAATCATGGTCTAGAAAACCTTGAAAGTAAATGCCAGTAAAGTCTTGAAAATAATGTTTAAAAGAAGAAACACTTTTACATAGATAAAGGGGGAAAAAAAAGCTTCAAAGCATTAAGTTTCAACCTCATTTAGACGGCGCTGCTCCAAATTGTCCATACTGCACCACAAACATGGAGAGCAATGTTAACATTTTTTTCAAGACCATGAGTAAATGGAAGGCAGCAAGATTATATTTGAAAAGATTTGCCATATCAAACCACTCTTAATTATTAGACCATGTAGAAGTCGAAATAAAGCATTGCTTTCCAATATTTCTTTACCTTCTATGCATTAGAAATACTTTCAGTCTGAGCATTCTGAGATACAGAAAATTAACATTCATTTTTCATTTACTTCATATTATACTTTAAATTTCATATCCTCACAGGAAAACACTGTTCAGTCTTGGAAGGACAGTTGTTTTTTTTGGTTCACGATTATCTTGATTTCAAAGAACACAGGCTTCAAATAAAGCCCTCCAAATTATTCTTTTTAAACACTTCAAACTACCTTTATGGCATCCTCAGAGGCAAATCAGGAACCACAGCCTGTGAACTCAATGAGTAAAACATCATTTTTTCAGCAACCTTTGAAATAAAGTGTGTGTGAAAATAAGAAGTACAAACCTTGACAGGTCCTTTGATTTCCTCATCGGTAACAAAGATGCTTGATTGACAGTCTTTCATCGCAACCTGAATGAGTAGAATAGCCATGAACAATAAACAATATTTGGGGTCAAATTTAGTTTGAGTAAAGAGAAACTTGTACATTCAAACAATAATAACTGCTTTATTTACTAGTGCTGGGGAAAAAGATAGATGGACAGAAACAATACATCAAAGAAGCAAGACCAACTATAGTGGTTTCCTAAAACCGTCTGCTTAAATTTGGGAATGTTGTTACCGATCCAGCAACAGCTGGGCTCTCACCCTTCTGTCCAATGCTATGTAGTTATAATTGCTGTAATGTTCTGGCATAGAGTGTCTTGTCAATGTTAGGTCTCGGAAGGAGACGGATAGCTCTGATGTCACTTAGGACTGTGCAGTGGAACAGGTGATGATCCACAACCTCATACGTATAGTCACACAAGAGACACATTGGGGGGTCAATTAAAATTGGGAACAACCTCAATAAATTCAGATTTCTAGCAAAAACAGAAAAAAAAGCTTAAGCTCATTACATGAACACAACCTGCTGTGAGAGCATAAATTTATTCAGGAATCCCAGCTTCAGTAGAAAAAGTACTTGACAAAAAGACTTTAAGAACCAAAGAATGCCAATATCATCTCAATACTGATCATTATATTATTCTGACTGTACACACTTACCTTGCACTTCACGACTCTGACAACAGTCTTCACTTTTGCTTCACAAAAGGCTCCTCTATACTTCGCACTAACCTCTGTGCCCACAGGCAGGGAAGGAGGCCCGAACCCAGGTTGGGCCTGAAATTACAAAAAAGTAAGATTTTTTCAGCAATGCCATTTCAGCTTAGCCTGAATAAAGCAGGTTGAAAAGAACCGTAAAATTTTACTTTGACTCCAGTACATAGATGTACTGCTTATGGAGGTCAAGCAGATGTATCTTTTGGTGCACATCACATGATTGATAATAAAACTATTGTAAATAAATCATTTTTTTAAAAATGTCATACCGTAGCAAAACATCGAATTATGGGGTTAAACAGGGCAGGCCCCCTTTAACACCAACTGGGTTGGTCCAAAGCATAAAAATGACAACCCAATTAGACTTACTGTAAGTGTTGTGAAGGCTGAAGCTAGATCTAGATTGACACCACCTTGCCCTCCACAAGATGGGATTGAGTGATTGAAATTGAGCAACTCCAGTATGAAAAGTAAGACTTGCTGTCAAGTCTATTTGGAACCATCTTGCCAAAAGAAGGCCCACGACAGATAGCAAGATCTTGACTCTTTCCAAGAAATTGAGTGTGTACAAAACAATTTAGTGACATTAATCGAGTTACTGAATTATACCCTATACATTGACTAACGTATAGTCTATATTCTAGTAGTATGGATCAGGGCTTGTTTTCGAACCTACAATAACAAACCAAAAGGGAAAGACAGTAGATTTCTAGGCTAGGCTAGTTGTAGACTGTAGATATATCTCACAGGCATGCCTTCAACAGACATTTGTGAGAGTGAGAGCCAGCACACCTTAATCTTGTAGCCTTAAAGTAGATCTATGTGGAAATACAAAGTACAGATTGTGCACATCTAAAAGAAACTATTGGCTCCCAAAAGCGAAAAGGAATCGCGAAACCGAAGACTGAAATAAGACGCGAGGAAGAAAACTTGTCGCGGACCCGCAGTATGCCATTCATTCCTGCGGTGATTCAGCACGGTAGGACTGACTTGGATGGGAAATGGGTTGCTACGCCTACTCAGATTTCAGGCAAATACTGCGACAGACGATGGTTTCACTGGCTTTACAATCACTCGTGTTATACCTACATATCTGTAATCAAATTGTGCTATTGTTTGAGAAGAATACGCATTGATTCGACCTGACAAAGGTATGGTAGAAGATGACTGAAACTGAAAGTCTCAATAAACGCAAACGTATACTCTTCTTGGCTTGTCTCTTGACTTATCCAAGAGAAACAGTCAGGCCTTTTCAAAAGACGCTACAACAATAAATACGCATTGAAAATGAAATATATTACTCACCATTGTAGATCAAGTCTTTAGCTTCACTCTTCTCAAAAATAAGAATAACACCATGTGTTTTATCGTCAAAAACAGACCGACACCTTCGGACACACAAAATTTCACGTCGCTCAACACCATGAAGAACAACAACTTTACCTCACATAAATCTCAAATCTGATTGGTTGATTCTAGATGACCTAAAAATATGTCGTCCATTTGCGCCCAGCGGATGCGCGAATGAACTACACACTTGTGACCTTGGATGCGTGGTGGGAGCAATACGTGCGAGACAATTTGAGGTGGTATACACAGAATATGCTGATTTGTACCTCGGATAATGACTTTTCGTGTGGAGGAAAGTTTGAATTCAACGTTGATAATTTGCATTACCTTCTTCTATACGTCATTTTATAAAATTTTGAGATAAAATGTGAGGTTCTCTATGGTTCATCCGGGTTCCGTAGCCCATTTATTTTTTTGTTGACAGATGGCGCTGCAGTCACTTGGTGTGTAAATGTGTTGCGGGGTTTTCCGCGTGCTAACACATCTTTGCGAAGCCGCTAGGTGTCTTCAGGCCAGGTTACCATATGACGCCGGGTTCAGCTGTTATGGCTCTCAGGCGCAGTTACGTTACATACAACACAACGCCCCGTAACATGCACACAAATTGAAGGGGGTCTTTAATTGTTGTTCTCTGGAGGTGCAGAAAGTAATATTAACATTAAATTTAGATCTATCCGAGACTATCCCAAACAATTCTAGATCTAGCACTATAGCCTAGCAATCGGAGAGGCTGGCTGACCAGCAGAGTCAGAGCGAGACAAACGATTAGTAGTCAGTAGGCCTAGCAGACTTGTCTCAACAGTGCTGTCTGAGAGCGAGAGTTTGATCTACAAATTGCAAGCTAGTTGAGAGGACTTGGCCCTACATTCTCTATCACCCGCCATGTCAAAGATAGCACTGCAGTGTAGCTGGAACTGCACGAGAGGTGATTTTTAAAAAAATTATAAATTGATGGAACATTTCCACTTTTGTGGGTGGAGATAGTGGGCAAGGGAAGGGATATATTTTATATAGATCTATATATATACAGGGATTTAATTTTAAACGACATTGGGTCATGGGGGTCCACGGCCCCTTCAAATAATGTCTTTTAGAGCATAGTGCCCTTTACAAAATTGTAACTAGACTATGCCAACTATGATAAATAGTTTGCTCTTCAACTACAGCAACACAATAATACCCTTATAATATGAATTTGGAATTTATCATGTATAGGCCCTACTGGATGGAAGAAACTAAAAAGTTCTCCCCAGGCCAGGCATCTTTGATAAGAAATTACTGCTTAGTAGTCAGTAGTCAGAACAATTGTGGCGACACAGTTGTGGTTCATAAGACGCATGCTACGTATCCCATATACCGCTAGAAAAACAAATGAAGAAGTCTTGGTTGAAGCAAATTGCAGAAGACAGCTTATGACGAATATAAGAAAGTGACAAGCAAATTTCTTCAGACACATAATGCGGAAAGAAGCATTGGTGAATATTGTAACAACAGGCAAGTTTGATTGAAAGAGAGACAGAGGCAGACGGAGGGAAAAGATACTGGACAATACAATAAGATGTCAACATGGCTAGGAGCAGCAAGAACAACAGACACCATTGCTGCAAAATGCAAGACAAAGTGAAGTGGAGGTCCATGATCGCCCATTCCAGTCGGCAAGGCACCGGATGATGATGAGTCAGTAGGCTACAATTTTCCTTCCCCCTTCTAATAAAGTTCTAATGAATAACTATTAATTTCCTAGTTAGGCTACTAGGCTACTGTCTCTGAGTGACTCTCAACATCTAGATCTAGTTGAACCTGGTCTAATCAGCTCTCACTCTCGTGGCGTAGAGGTTAATTAGGTGTTCGCCTCTCATTCAGAGGTCCGGGGTTTGAATCCGGGTAGCGACGGAAGATTTTCTTATCGAATTTTCGCCTTTCACATCCTTTTCTGCTGTTTAACAATGTTCTTTCGTCTCCGCTCCACTCTGTGCTCCTGACTCTTTCTGAACCTGCCTTTCTACTGCTTGTCCGTGGCTCCTTCTTTCTGTTGTCTTTCAGCCACACCCCTGATCTTATAGTAGGTAAGATCTACACGTAACCCTCTCGGACAAGGGCAAAAAATCTCAAAGGTCTCGTGTGCAAGTTGCACACGTTAAAGATCCCTTGATGGTCCAAAATCTACAAAGAGAACTTGGCTTCAACCGCCGCCTGGGCAATATTCAAAATTTCCGATCGACTGAAAATGTTTGGTATGTTCCGTGCTCATTTGATGTTTTATGCAGTTTCAAGCTGCGAGCGCCGTAAAAGTGAAACACTTACCAAAAACTTTAAAAAGCTAACGATAATGACCAGTTTTAGGTAAATTTTTACTTTCACTCCCGCACACAGATGCACTGCTTTGAGGGTCAGACTGCAATTTTATTTGCTGCAGATCACACATCATATATATAATTTTTGTCTATTCGGACTCGGGTCTGAAAAAAAGGTTTTATATATTCAGACTTAGCTTCTAAGTGAGTTATGATGTGAGTGTAAGGAGGTTACATTATATAAATAAACGTTGTCGGGGGATTTTAAGTAACGAAGTGTATACAGACCCGGTAACCAGGAACAAAGTCACAAAGTATACAGACCCGGTAGGGGAACTCTTTTGTGATTTCGGAGGGTTTCAGCGCCCAGACCCGGTAATGTCTGTGTGTGTGTGTGAGTTAAAGAGAGAGAGAGAGAGAGCGCAGGGGGAAGTGCTAGCAAAATGTATATAATATGACATGTCTGCCAGTTGGCAGGAAGGAACGAAAGACAGAGACAAACAAAGAAAAAAAGAATGCGAGCGATACAGAGAGAGAGAGAGAGAGACTGCTCGATTGAAATTATGACATTGTTCTTTTCTTCAAATTGTGATTCCTCCAACTCCAAAACAGGGGGAAAACGATCGTTCATCGAAAAGACATCTGCAATCTTCATTTAGTTTTAGATCTAGAATCTAGATCTAGATCTACAGTCTAGATCTAGGCTAACCTCGAAACTAGATCAATGATTTATATCTGTCTGTCTAAATCTAGACCTAGGCCATAGATCTAGAAGAACCTAGTTCTACCCTGAGCCAAGAGGGTGCTGAAAGTTTCCGAAATCACAAGAGTTCCCCTACCGGGTCTGTATACTTTGTGACTTTATTCCCGGTTACCGGGTCTGTATACACTCCCTTTAAGTAAAACCAGAATTAGAACTAGAATTGCATACCTAGGACTGTGTAATTGTGTCAAAAATCAAAGGACTGCACTCTCATTAGATCTACCCAATGGCAGTGTCTAAGTACACAGTAACCGACAACCTGGGTCTTTCCACCACCACTGTAGCATCATCATTACTTCCACCGCCATTTGTCTTTCTACATGTTTCATTTCATTTTGTTGTGTATTATAGTTTTTCTGTAATGATTTTTTTCATCACTTTGCACAAAACCGACAGCCGTGGCTTCTTCCCAACACCTCTTCCCCCAGCAAGCTGAAAGTGGGAGATCCCTACGCGCAGTTTCATTGGTCGACATAATCTTCTTTGCCCCCGGCGAGGTCAGCTCAACTTAATCGTTCTGTTCATACTAATGATGCAGGGAGGGCCAGTTTAGATAGATCTAGATCTAGTAACTGGATGTTAAAGCTCACGTTTCGACTGTTATCATTATAATCGAAACAAAGTTCGTACATGCTGGAAATATTTAGGAACAAGGGTCGGAAGTCGGAACGCCGTCATGCTGGACACAATTCAGAGTCCGAATATAATTTTTTTCTATTCGGACTCGAGTCTGAAAAGTCACTTCGAGAGAGAGAGAGAGAGAGGTCTGTCTAGGTCTTTCTCGGTCGCCCTCTAGCCTTGTTGCCTTTGAATTTTTCATAAGGTACGGTACATTGTGCTGGATGGTGTGTTGGTTATCGCGTGAGATGTACGAACTACATGTTGTAATTCTTTACTCCAATGATTTGTTTGTAGTCCATGTTTGGCATTGATAGGTGAGTGTTGGGATGAATATGGTGTTGATCATTTGGAGTTTTGTTGTCATGGTGATGTTTGTGTAGTGGAGTAAGCTGGTAACTAACGTTATTGGCCTTTTGTACTCGTGTTTCAATTTCTCTTTTCAGTCGCCCATCCGAGGTACTTAAATTCTTGGACCTGTCTGAGACTGTTGTTGTTGATGTGTGTCCTGAGTGGTCCTGGATTTTTGCTTATTTTCATTGTCTCTGTTTTGTTGGTGTTGATCTTCATGTCGTAGTTGTTACATTCTTCGTTTGATCTGGTGGTGTGGTGTTGGAGACTTTGTTCATCTTTGTTTGCCAGTCAGGCTTTGGTCATCAGCGAAGAGTAATTCATTTAGAGCGTCTGGTTCTGTGATGGCCTCTTTTTTAATTCTATCCATGATAAATAGTAGTGGTGATAGGACACAACCTTGTCTTACTCCGTATGTTATCTTGAACCATTCTGTGAGTCCCTCTGACGGTCTTACTGTACTTAAATGCTGTTCTCCTAAAAAATGGCGCAGATGTTATCTAGAAGTTGGCCTCTTACTGTGTAGTTTTCGAGTTCTTTCCACAGCTTGTTTCTGTTCACTGTCGAACGCTTTCTCCTGGTCGACAAATACTATGTTTCGTTCCCTGTTGTGTTCAATTGCCCTTTCGCACATTTTTCTTTATCTGGAAAGTAAGAAAGGCAAAATATAAAATATGTGAAACCGTGTTTCTGATTTGAAAAGAAAAGTATTGTTCGATGTTTGCCACAACATAGCCTTTGCTCGGCTGTCGGATACACACACACACACACATATATATATATATGTGTGTTCATTAAATCAGCTAAAAGTTCATCAAGATATGGTGGTGGGGGCTTTCTGCTTCATTTTATGAATGAGGGGTCTTGTCTTACTATGGAAATGTTTTTTTATCAAAACCGTCAGTTGCACTACCAATGCAAATGAATGTTTGAATTTTATAGAGGCCCCTATATCACCACAGTGAATTTTATAGAGGCCCCTATATCACCACAGTGCAACGAACAAACATCCGAAAGTATTCTGCAGGAATTGTGGTCATGGGGAGAGTGCTAAAAAAGAACCAAAATTATAATGAGTTGTAGGTTTTTTTACCCTTCTTTTATTTTGATTAGCAATGCTGCCCTACTTCAGACCAGTTTGAACTTGTTTAGCTTACATTTGCCGAGTACTGATGTAAAGCAGGATCAGTAATATTGTGGTATTTCCGATTTCGTTCAATTCAATGTGTAAAATACATAGAGTGTTTGTGCTTCTTTGAATCAAAGGAATTTCAGACTTATTTGTCTATGTCGCAATTTCTT